GTAAATCCATTTCTCTGAGATGTATGTCCTCATCTGAAAAGCTGGGAATCAAATCTTACCTTGCAAGTCTGTTGTATAAAATATGGAAATGCATATAATCCCAGAAAACCTTTAGGGAAATTCCTTGCACATAGCAGATACCCAGTACACATTGGTTTTTATGGTTAGCTTTTAATCTGTGGAAACTGGGCAGAATTGCATTTAGGAGAGAGGAATCAGGAAACCAGGACTGGGAGAGCAAAAGTAAGATGGGGACAGATGTTGATGCCAGCATGTATGAAGCACTACAAGTTGGGGTGTGTTGAGACCCGATGTCTGGGGGAGCCAGGATTAGACACCAGGCGAGCAGTGAGAAACTGTACAAGCAGCTGGTGACCAGAGGTCATGGCACAAATACGGCCACTGACTCAACAATGCTGGAATCAAGAAGAGCATGCAGGCAGTGTTCTTTTTTTATTGTTTACCCTATTACAGCTGTCCCCACTTTTCCCCCCTTTGCCCACCTCCACCCAGCCCCAACCCCACCTCAGGCCATCACCACACCGTTGTCCATGGGTCATAGTGTAGTAGAGATACCGCCAACATTTGCTGTGTGCTTACTTTGCCAGGTTCTGTTCCGAGTGTACCATTCATTTAGTTCTCACAACAGCCCTGTGAATTAAGTACTGTTATAACTGTCTCCAATTTATAGATGAGGACACTAAAACAGATGGTTTAAATGACTTGTCTTAAAAACACACTCATGCACAACTAGTAAGTGTGGCAGAGCCTGGATGCCAACCTGAACAGGGGCTCAGGGGCCCACGATTTTAACTACTACCCTCTAGTAGTTATCTCCAACTGGAAGTGTCACAGGTAACCAGGTTCTTGGTGATCAGGACAAAGACTTGAGCCAAACACCCAGAGTTTATAGCAGAGAACATGGGAGCAGGCCAACTCCAAGCAGAGATTGACCTCATGGGCTGGAGGGACTCTATTCTTACAAGGCTGGTTTTTGCAGGCTTTTACTGTGCATGTACAAGTAGCTGTATTACTTCAAAGCTACTGCACATGTGGTCTCCCATGGTTTTCCTGGATTGGCCGCCTGGGAAGAGGGTCCCATAATGTTACCTAGTTGACGCCCCCTTCTCCTGGGGTCCCCCTGTACTAGGTTCACCTTTCCCTTCACCAGAGAATTATAGCTGTCCATGTTAATAGGGATTGGTGAAAAGGAAAGGAATTATTTATTCAAGTTATACAGACTTAGGAGTAATGACTTAATATCTTCATCAAAATCCCAAAGTCCCTTAAAACACCCACAAACACACACAGTCCTTCTTTCCCCCTTTGCCCAGTCCAAGGTACCGTATCTTAGGAAAAGAAATAGAAAGCCATGTGGTGGTTCTCTGCTAAAGCCCAGTGATGATTCTTCTCATGGCTGCAGGTGTTGGGGGTTGGTCCCCCCACTCTGGCCAAAGCTGCATGGTTCTCTTTGCTAAAGCTATATGGTGATTCTCTCACACAGGGCTGCAGGAGTCCTCATTCTGGCCAAAAGCTTGTGATTCTCTCCTCCATGGCTACTGCGTCTGCGTTTAAATCCCTGCGCCAGTCCTCCTTTGCAGCCCTGACTCCTCCCACAATCGGCTACGCTTGGCAGGACTCCCGTATCCTCCCAGCTTTACTGGGCTGCCATAGTGAGTCTGGGCAGGTGTGGCCCCATGGCGTGGAGCCAATCATCTCCAAGATTTCAATGCAGGTGCTGTAATGTGGGGGGGGGGGAGGCTGGGAGCTGCCTCCCAGTTACAGCGTGGGTGGAAGTTACTCCCTTCTCCCTGGCTCAAAGCATAGCCACAGCGGTTTAACATATCTGTGAAACCACTTAAAGGTTATATATATGTTAAATGACCATTTTAGAGGTTATCTGCGAAACTGTTGCTATGCAAAACAACTCAGTGGCCCTGCTCCATGTATCCCATCCTCAGAGCTCCCATATTTTTAATATTTCCTGGATACCCTGAGTTCTGGACCCCATTACAGATCCTTCTTTTGGGGGCCCCCTGGCTGTACCCTCCTACAGAAGCTTTTTTTCTCCTGATCCAGGGGCAGCTGGCAAAGGGCCAGCAAGTCAGAGCCAATTATCTCTAATGTATTTACTGCTAATGTTATTAATATAATAAATGGTTAATACAGTATTTGTGAAGATCTGTGTTCTTGGCACTGTGCTAATGTGCTTTGTCGGCATTCTTTAATTCCTTTAACTATTAAATAAGACATCATCGTATCTATTTTATAAATGAAAGAACTGAGACTCTTGGAATCGCTTTCTTCCTCCTTCACATTGAAACACATTGAAAGAGTACTACTTTTCACATCCACTCCTCATCCTATAACTATCTAGCTTCAGATTCAGATTCTCCACTGAAATTCCTCTTACTGAGATTACAAATGATCATCCAGGAGACATTTTTCAATGATTAACTCAATGACTCACCCTTTTGCATTCCTGCTTGATGGCCACTCCATCTTTATCATTTCCAGGGCCATAGTTTGTTCCAGGACCACCTCTCTGACCTATTTTTAATCTCCATATTGCCCTATGTCTCTTTTCTTATGCTGGTCTTTAAATGTGAGTCTTCTCCAGAGTCACATTCACGCCCTCTGTAATCTACATACTCATGAATGTTTCACCCACTTCCTGATCTCAGCTACCATTGAAATGCTAAAGTAGGGGGAGGAGTTCCCATGAACTTGAGACACAGATCCTTTACATGGTGAGGACCCCCTGCCTGTATCTCAGGTTCAAGTGTATGAAGCTGAATACTTGCAAACTTTTTCTGTACCACCCATCTTTCTCTTTTACATTATTTCCCTGAGGTACTGCCATCCACCCAGTTACTCAAAGCTAGAACCTGAAAGTCATGCTTGCCTCCTCCCCCTCCATCCTCCCAATTTGTACAGTATTTATTTATTTATCTTCATACAGTATTTAAGAGCCATCAATTCTACCTCCATCCTGTGGATTTAATCACTTTTCTATACAGACACAGAGAAACCAACAATATCTCTTACCTAGCTGACTGAAATAGCTCCTTCCTGGCCCTTCTTCCTCTGGTCTAGCACCTTTTACTGTTTTCGCTATGGTAGTCATAAACTTTTTAAAGCTCAAATGCAAGGGATGACATGATCAGATTTGAACTTAACCCCTTCTTTGACCCACAGTGCTCTCTAAGCTTCATTGCTCTTTGTGGATTAAACTCTAAGCTCCACAACAAAGCACTCAAAGCTCTCTGGAATCCTGTTTCTATCTGACTTTGGACCCCATTTCTTGCCACTCCCAGCTTGCTTTTCAGTTGCACCAAACTTCTTATGGTTTCCTAAACACACCAGGCCTGGGTAATTTTTTTTTTTTTTAGTATGTAATAGCCCAAAAGTCACCTCCTCTAGGAAGCCTTCCCTGATCCCTTCTGCTGGGTTAGGTGTTTCTCCTTAATGCTCCCCTATTTTCTCATGAATATTTCTGTCACCATTTTCAATAACAATTTATGATTATTCTCACATTTGTCTTCTCTACTAGTTGAGGATTCTTGGCTGAGGGCAGGAGCTGTTGAATTCCCAGGATGTAGCACATGGTGTAGGGCCTTAGTGAGTTTTGAATGAATAAGTAATTCATTTTTCCAAGGGAACATTGCAAATAAATTCCGAAACTGAAACCAAAATCTGCTGTACTCTAAAACCCATATTCTTTTCACTAATGCATTTGCACATATGAAGTGGTTTCGTGTCCTTAAAAAGCTGACATTTAGAGGGCCTATCATAAGATTTCCTTCTAATTTAAAAAATTATTTTTAATTTTTAATAATACGCTTACATGGTTCAGTAATCAAACTATAAAAATATACAGCACCAAAAACAATCAAAAGTAGGGTCTCGAAGAAAGATTTGTACATAGGTATTCATAGAAGCCTTAGTCACAATGGCTAAAATGTGAAGCAACCCAGCTGTTCGCTGATTGGTGGACGGATGAGCAAAATGTGGCATATACATCAATGGGATCTTATTTAGCCTTAAAAGGGAAGGGAATTCTGCAGTGAGCTACAACATGGTTAAACCTTGAGGACATTATGCTAAGTGAAATAAGCCAGTCACAGAAAGACAAATACTATATAATTCTGTTTTCAGGGGTTACTTGGAGTAGTGAAGTTCCTAGTGACAGAAAGTAGTGGTGGTCACAGGGGCATGGGGAAGGGGATAATGGGGAGTTAATGTCTAATGGGCACAGAGTTTCAGTTTTACAAGATAGAGAACTATGAGGATGGATGAAGGGTGGTGATGGCTGCACAACGATGAGAATGTATTTCATACCATCGAACTGTATGCTTAAAAATGATAGGATCGTAAAGTTTATGTTATGTTTATTTTACCACAATAAAAAGAAATTTAAGGCCAAAACAACAAAAAAAGGTATCGAGAAGAGTCTCATTCCCATTTTTCTTCGTCTTCCCAGTTCCTACTGCCTTTGCCCAAGATAACCAATCTTGTTAGTTTCTGTATCTCCTTCCAGGTTTTCTTTTTGCAAATGCAGTGAATATGAAGGTATATAGTGTTCTTCACTTCCTGACTCTTTAAAAGGTATTAAAACATTTTTTTAGGTTTTGTACTTTTTCGGTAAGTATTAGCAAAAAGAGCTAATCAGTACCCAGCCTGAATGAACTCGCAAGATGGAGATAAGGAAGAGGTCAGCTACTTGATGAGAGGGCAAGATAATCCTGCCTGCTCACTCCAGCTGGATTTCTCAGGGCATGCAGAGCAGAGTCCTCCAGGACAGAGCCTATTGTCCATTGTATTTCTCCGAGGCAGATTCTCAAGCTCCCCAGAGTTACCTTTTCTCTGGAACTCTCCTAGGCCACTCCCCCTGATGCAATATCTGGGTTTGGGTGGAAGGGAGGGTGCTACACAGCCCGCCCCTTCTGAGCTGTCTGTGCTGGCTCCAGTTTCTGGAACAATTCAGGCTGCACAACAGCTCAGACCTCAGCTCCAGCATCTGCGTTCTGAAGCAAGGATGGCTGGGATGGACAGAATGTTTCATTGTGAAAGGAAACAATGTTCCAGGTCAAGCTGAGTCGACCACACACAGACCCTCATGATGATTCTAGAAGAAATCTCAACGAGTCTTACCATGTGGTTTTTCTACCCCTTGATTCCATGTTTGCTCATAGGTAAGTATGATTTAGAATATAGCCAATAGACTGGGAGTTGACTATAGGTTAAAAAGGTGAACAATACTTTCCCAGGGTTTGGGGTTGCATTATATAAGCATAGAACATTGTAAGCTTGCTTTTAAAAAGGTTCTTACCTCTTAAACATCCGTCTTAAAGAAAAGATAAAGCCTGTGTTCTGTCTGGATATCTCTCTCCCAATGACCACAAAACAATGTAAAAAGATAAAGCATCAAAACAAATAGTCTAAAGGTTAGCAGAGCCCCATGCATGTTGCTGTTTATTTCATTGTCTGGTTTTATAAGTTGCAGCATAGTTATCTCAGCCTCTGTGTGTGCATTGGAGATGCTAACTGTGCAGACAAGATGTCGAGTAACGACTCGACAAAATAGACAAAGTGAATAAAAAGACATAATTTTCCTTAATAATGAGGACAGGACATAAACATTGGATACCTGTCCTGGTCACTGCAGAAAGGTAGCAGGCAGGTAGGTACTCCATAGCACCGAAAAGAAATAGTTGGTTTGGGGCACTTTCTCTGCCAGTAAGATTATACAGTTTTCTGTTTCACTCCTGGATACTTGTACCTACATGTTTTACTGTTTCAAAAATCACAGCTCTGTAGCCTTTGATGTTTCATTACATCAAATCACACTTAAGAGTAATGTCTAATTTTAATGCTCCAAGGTACTAGGCACTTTGCTGTATCAGTGGAATATTGGAGAACTTTCTGACTTTTTAATTTTTATTTACTTTTAACACTGAGAAGTAATTGTTCTAGTTAGTTTAAACCAGGCAACAAATCAGTGCTAAGGAGATCTGCAAATGTTTACAGCTTGCTTAGACATTAAATTTCTGGTGTCCCTTCCTAGTTCACCCCCAAAACCCCTCAAAACTCCCAATTGCTCAGCACATGGCCTTCAAATCTGCTGTTTGTTCATGATCCAACATATACAGGCCCTGGTCCTATTTCTCGCTACGTCTTGAAAACAAATATGCACCACAGGTGGCTGCTGTCTTCACAGTTGGCAGATTACACCCTCATAATTTCTGACCAGAAGTACCACCTGTATTTCCTTTCCCCATCCCAAGCCCATCTCCCCATCATCATTCCAGATGGTTCCCTCCTCCCCGAGATCCTTCCCAGGCTTCTCTCTCCTTTGACCCTAACTTCATTTATTCTGCCTTGGTGGGTTCCGTTTCCTGCATTGACCTGAGGGCAGAGCCTGGGCACCTTTCCTGGTGTCCTCACAGTCTGTAGCATAGGCTAAGAATGTTGCCTGCTTGGTTAGTTAGTAGATTGATTGATTAGTTGGTGGGACACATTCCTCTACGAAGCCAAAAGGAGAAGAGGGGGAGCAAATGAGAATGGGAAAGACCAGCATTTTTTAATTATTATTTTTAATTTATTGATTTGTGAGAGAGAAAAACATCTATTTGCTGTCCTACCTACTTATAGATTCATTGGTTGATTCTTATATGGGATATTGAACATGCAACCTGTTTCAGGACAACAGGGCAACACCCTAACCAACTGAGATACCTTGCCAGGGCCAAGGCCAGCATTTTTTAACTTGACATTTTCTTCAGTGAGGCAATCTGATCTTTTAAGCCTTTTCCTGATAACTTGTGTTTCAAACAGACCCGGAGTAGAGTATGTTCTTCTGATACCTATAAACTTACACAGAGTTTTTAAAAAAATGGGATTGGGGGGGAGACTGTAGTTGAACAATAATAAAATTTTAAAGTATTTTTTAAAGAGAGAAAAAAATGGTAGAAACCACAAGGATGTCAGAGCCAGAAGGACCTGTATGTGTGTATTGCCTTACTAGCTCAGTGACTGTATCATCATATAACTTCAGTTTCTGCATCTGTGAAATGGTCAAAATACACGACATCTTGAGGTTGGAAAGGGTTAAATGAGATGATGTAAACAAAAGCACTTTGAAAGTGTCAGTGTGCCCCATTCCATGTTAGTTGTTACATGTGGGTTATGCAAACAAATGATGGTGTCAGCAGATAATTGCTTTAGCTGAGGTTGCCGTTATGTAGCTTTTTAAAATTATATTTTATTGATTATGCTATTACAGTTGTCCCAATTTCCCCTTTTACTGTCCTCCACCCAGCACTGCCCACTCCCTCAGGCAGTCCCCACACCAGCATTCCTGTCCATGGATCATGCAAATATGTTACGTGGCTATTCTGTTTCCTGTGCTGTACTTTACATCCCCACAGCTCTTCTGCAACTATCTATTTGTATGTCTCAATCCCCTCACTTCTTTACCCACATTTCCCCATACCTCCACCATCTGGCAACCATCAAAAGACTCCATATCCATAATTCTGTCTCTGTTTTTCATTGCTTAGTTTGTTTTTGAGATTCGAGTGTTGATAGATATGTATTTATTGACATTTTATTGTTCATAGTTTTGATCTTTTTCTTAAATAAGTTCCTTTAACATTTCAAATAATAATGATTTGGTGATAACGAACTCTTTTAGTTTTTTCTTGCCTGGGAAACTCTATCTGCCCTTCAATTCTAAGTAATATCTTTGCTGGGTAGATCAGTTTTGACTGTAGGTCCCTGCCTTTCATGACTTTGAATATTAATTGCCATCCCTTCTAGCCTGCAAAATTTTTGTTGTTGGTGGTGGTGGTGGTTTATTTATTTATTTATTTATTTAAGAAATCAGCTGATAATCTTATTGGTACTCTTTGTAGGTAACTCTCTGCTTTTCTCTTGCTGCTTTTAAGATTCTTTATCTTTAACATTTGGCATTTTAATTATGATGTGTCTTGGAGTGGACCTCTTTGCATCCATCTTGTTTGGGACTCACTGTGCTTCCTGGATTTGCATGTCTATTTCCTTCACCAAATGAAGGACATTTTCTTTCATTAATTTTTTCAAACAGATTTTCAATTTCTTCCTCTTTCTCTTCTCCTTCTGGCGCCCCTATGATGTGAATGTTGGACCTCTTGAAGTTGTCCCAGATGCTGCTTACACCAGCCTTATTTATTTTTGAATTCTTTTTCTTCTTGTTGTTCTGATTGGGTTCTTTTCTTTCTTTTCTTTTTTTTGCTTCCTTATGTTCTAAATTGTTGATTGGATCCTCAGTTTCATCTACTCTGCTGTTGTTTCCCTGTAAATTGTTCTTTGTTTTGCTTAGTAGCTCCTTCATTTCTGACTAGATCTTTTTTATACTGTTGAGATTCTCACTAATTTCTTGGAACATCCTTATAACCATGTTTTGAACTCTGCATCTGACAGATTGCTTATCTCTTTTTTGTTTAGTTCTTTTTCTGGAGTTTTGATCTGTTCTTTCATTTGAGCCATATTTCTTTGTCTGCTCATTTTGGCAGCTTCTTTGTACTAGGTAGAGCTGCTATGACTCCCTGTCTTGGTAGCATGGCCTAATGTAGTAGGTGTCCAGTAGGATCCAGTGGCACAGCTTCCCCAAGACCCACGCTCTGTACTTAAGGTGTGCCCTTCTTGGGGACTGAGTATACCCTCCTGTTGTAATTGAACCTTGTGTGCTGTAGTCAGGTCAATGGGAGGGATTTACCCAGGCCAGTCAGCTGCAAGAACTGGCTATGACCATGTATCACCACCCTCTGCCCTCCATGGAGGATCAGCTGTGCAGAGGCAGGGTGGTAATGCTCCAATATGGTCTGTAGCTGTCCTCTTGGGTGTGCAGACTCTTGGGTTTTCCGGATGGTTCAGGCCAAGGTCAGCACCTACTCGTGTGTTGCCTGGAGCAACCCTGTCTGAGCTATAGAGTGACCTGAGATGGCTGCTACTTGTGCTGAGCTTGGAGATTCCCAGGCAAACCAAGCTGTGAATCTAGGCTGGCTGCTGTTAATGCTGTGCCTGGGGCAACTTAGCAAGAAGTATGGGGGTTGGGAGCTCACTGAGGCCAGCTGTTGCTTGTTTGAGAGGATTTAGTAAGTTGTGAAGCATGAGCCAAGATCAGCCATTCTTATAAAAAAGCCACTGTTAACAGCTGTATGTTGGGTGGGGTGGAGCCTCAGAGGATCTTGAGGGTCAGGCAAACAGTGTTAGCCAGGCTGATGGAGTCTCAGACATGGCACCCACCTGCAAGCTCTGTGGGGGGAAGGCTCAGAAAAGGGATAATAGCCTCTGCCCTACTTTATGTCTGGGAGATAGCTCTCCCCCAGCTCCCACTTTGATGCCAGAGACTTCAGTTCTTCCCTGTGTGCCACTGGTGCCTTTCAAGCTGTTACCCCAGTGCTGGAGCTCAGAGGGAGTGAGTCTGTGTGGGTTCTTTAAGGGGAACTACTTCAGCCTCCAGCTCCAGCAGTTTCTTTCACTGACTCAATCCCTGCTGGTTTGTGAAGCCAGAAGTTATGGGGATTTATCTTCCTGTCACTGGAACCCTGGGCTGGGGGGCCTGGTGTGAGGCTGGAATTCCTCGATCCCAAGATATCCTTCCTAAATTTTTATCCACCACATGTGTATGTGGGACCAGCCTGTTCCACTTCGCCACCCCTTTTCCCACTCTGGATGAATGTGCTTTCTTTAATCCCATAGTTATCAGACTTTCATTCAACTTGATTTCTGACAGTTCTAATTGACGATTGTTCTATAATGTAGTTGTAATTTTGATGTGGTTGTGCGAGGAGGTGAGCCATGTTTACCTATGCTGCCATCTGGACCAGAAGCCCCAGTCCTTGGTTTGCCTTTATGCAGTTTTGACCATTTCCTCTGGACTGTGTAGATAAATTCTGCAAATTCTGAATGAACTTCTGTTAGTTACTTTAGGTCTCTAGACAAATGGGTAGAGTTCTTGCTCTCTTTTGTAGAATTGATTTGCCTTGCTCTGTCTCTTCCAAATAATAGTATGATTTAGGAAATTGATCCCTACTATCAATAATAATAAGAAGAATAACATGATGATAATCACAGCACCATTTCTGAGCATACACTGTTATCTTAGATTAGCAAAAGTGTTCTCTTAAGTTCTCACGTTAGTCCTTCAAGT